TTAAATATACATTCATATAACTTTGTTTTTAATGTTATTTGGTATAAAAAATAATTCTGTATTCAATGATGTACTCATAAGATATAGAAATTCTTTATCCCTTGTTTAGATATTGGTGATGTCCTCATGTGGCTACTGTGTGACCAGAATATTGTATTTGTTCTTGCAAATGATTAATCTCTATGTTTGCAAACACTTCAAGTTTCCGAAACGTCTTTAAACAGGCTTTACCATATCGAACTGAAAGTTAAAAAAAAAAGCGAATATGTGTGTATAAATAAGGTTTTCAGAACCTCATGCTATTTTAAGTTTTTTTTTTTTGTTATTCAACTGTTGTGTGATGATAATTTCTTCAAAAGGTAGCCGAAAGCCGTTTGGAGGGGTCACCTGTTTTAATCAGTCGCACTGCTATAACAGTAGTGTGTTGTCTGTCAGTCAATCAGTAGACGCTAAAATGACGTCACATAAGTAACGCTTAACGTTGCAATGTGTACTGGTTGTGATGTCAGTAAAACGTGCGCATGCCATGAATCACGAGAAGAATTATGCATTCTGTAGGCTACAACACAGCATGCATATGAATTTCAAAGGCAAGATTTTGTTGTTTTAAAGTCGTTTATTTCTAGTACTAAAATGAACTAAATGTCGCCGCAAATGCTAGTAACCTTTTACTTTTCTAGGCCTATGCGTGTGTGTACTTTTATAGCAAAGTCACATCGATATACATGCTGTGTTTACCGATGGTAATCCAACCCCTGGTTTTAGCAGTGTATATCCATAGACTTACCGCTGTCCCACTGGGGGACTTACTAACACTGGCGTATCCAGGAATTGAAAAATGGAGAGGGGGGGGGGCAAGTCTTAACATTCATATTTGAGTATAATTTCTATTTATTTTTGTAATATTTCAACTTTATTATTTTCTTTGCATTGGTTAAATGAGTGTTATGACATGTTACTTTATTGACGTCACTCAGCTACCGCGAATCGCGACTACGCTGAAGTTGGAATTTTGGAAACCGTGAATAGGAAGGAATTTGAGTGAGCTAGATGTAAATTGAAGCTTAAGAATATAAAACCGCGAAAATTTACATAACGAAATTAGGAATTGCGGAGAAAACTGGTGAAAAATAAAAATAAAAGCCAAAGGGGGCGTTTAGAATAACTTAATTTCTCCTCATCTCCCAATCGACTCGCAATCTGGGAATCGCGGGTTCGAATCCCTTTCAGCCATGGGGGCTTTATAATGTGACAGTCAATCTCATCATATTTTAGTCAAAAGTAGCCCAAGCGATGGCGGTGGCTGGTATTGACTATCTGTCTTCCCTCTAGTCTATCACTTCAAAATTTGGGACGACTAGCGCAGATAGTACTCGCGTAGCTTTGAGCGAAATTCAATAAACAAAAAACGAACAAAGTTGAGAGGTGCTTCTTTAAGACCTAGCTTTTTAAAATTTATAGAAACTTATTTCGCAATTATATTGATTATTTTGCAGTGTCTGTGTGTATGAACAAAGTTTCCTGGTCAGTAAGACAAGGCGAAGGATGTAAAGTGAGCTTAAGATAGTCGATTCTATTGGAAGTAAAATTAATTTAAAAACTTGTATTGATTTTGCTCAAAGCGGTAAGTCTGCGGACGTTTATGACTAGAAACTGGGTTTCAATACGCGTGGTGGGCACAGTACAAATAGCCCATTGTGTAGCTTTGTGCTTAACTACCAACAAGAAATTGATTTTGCTGCCTTAGATGGCTGTCTACCTCGCCCACCCACTAAAGTCGGGTCTGCATTAGACATGCGTTTTTATACTGTTATAAGTAATAAGTATAAGAATGAATTCTAATTGTAATAAACATACAAACATAAGCACGTTTTGCAC